GACAAGTGACAACCTTATGGCCAGAGGAAATGCCTCATTTAAAAAAGGGGACAGCGATAGATAAATGTGGGACCTCCAGATGCGAGTGTCAGTGTTTAGTCATATATCTTTGGTTAGGCTACAATGAGGGCTACAAGATTTGAAGTTTGACCCGCAATCGTTGGTTTTGTAGAGCGGAGTGCTAACCACCAAACTAAGTAGACAACCATCAAATAAAATTAAATGTAATTTCGAGACATTTAATTTAGATAGATAGGTGAAATAAATATATAAAAATAAACTATATTTTATTATTAATATCAGTAGGTATTTACTTACTTATTATGTTATGTTTATCATAAATTGCGCATATAAGGTAACTACGCGCATTTTAATGACTGCTATAAACCGGTTAAATACTGAAAATGGACAATATTAATATTGTTACATGGATACTTAAATATTTGCTACATATCAGGAAGATATTGGTGATTGCAGTCGTAAAATAAAATCTATTTATTAGCATATAATTTATCTTGTTTTTAAGTAGGTACCCACTTGGAAAATACTAAAGTCCTACAGTTAGGTAACTCTTGGAAATTCTAGCTAAAAACGAATAATTAATAACCTACTTTACGATTAAATTACGAATATGTAAGACTGGAAAAGTGATAATACCTCTTATGTAGAATATTGCGTGTTTCACAACCATTACGATTGCTGACATAATTTTAATAAACGTAAAAGGATAAGTGCTTTTCAGCCATGCGTGGCAAGCAACGATAGTTCCGTATAGACAGCAGAATGTCATAGAATTTGATTCGGTCGCGATACGACCGGGATATGAACAGTAGAACCCTTGCGCATAAAGCCCGCCATATACGGACAGCTTGAAGCGGCTAGCATACGACAGCTTCAAACTGCGACTGCATAGCAAACCACAGTATTCTACGTACATACATACACGGAGCAGTTACTTCAGTAGTTTTCGAGCTTGAAGCTGTCGTTCGTTACTAACTGCTTCAAGTTGTCCGTGTATGGCGAGCCTAAGGCGATTCATAGCACCACCACTGCGCCATTGGGGTATCCACTCATGCGTTGCGTTTAAACTGGAGAAAGACGTGGCTTGTATGTACGTACCTACAGTCGACAACTCGACAGGGCTTATTCCACTATTCCCCGTTGACAATCCCCGTCAACGGGGATTAGTACAGCACATGAGACTAGCTTTTTTTTTCAAAATACCAACCTACATCTACATAATATTTCAACTGTCATTAGGCAGCGTAGGACAGGACCGGTCGTGGCTGAAATTCTTGGGGGAGGCCTTTATCCAGCAGTGGATGTCCTTTAGATGTTTAAGCTAACACCAGTAAGCAATACATATAAAGATTTCGTATTGTGTGCCCACAGCTAATCCGCGTTCCTCGTTAGTGTAGCCCGCGTATAAGGAAATGTATAAAATGCGGGCAGCCTGCAAGCGGATTGTATATTTCTGCCGAAATACGCATTACAGGAAAAAAATATTTATTGCATAGAGTTCATAAGCCATTTCACGAGATTATGCACAGACACACATCTCCAGAACCTTGCAGATAAATGTAACCTTTACAAGAAAAGTTCGTGCGGTGCCCCAGTTAAATGGATTCCCGATAGAACGACCGCAATGACGGCCAGTGATTATTTTAGTGTCACTGACTCCCAGTCAGGCGAGGGCTTTGAACTCCGTTATAAATAAATAGCTATTAAGCCGAGTTAGTTCTGTAGAACTTAGGCAGTAAAAACAAGAGGGAAAGTATGACTCAATAACTTGGTGCTTTAAGAACATCTTGTTGACGTATTAAAAAAAAACATACGGTCGAATTAAGAAACTCCTCCTTTTTTTGAAGTCTGTTAAAAATAGAGTGCGACTATAGGTGTCGGTGTCGGAATCGTAATGCGGATTAAAGGAATGCTAGAACCCTGTCGAACGCTGGACCAGCTGGACCATTGAGGTGATCCCACTTCAAACACAAAATATATTTAGCTTGAAGGGGTTAACATGAAAAAAAAATGTGTATAAATAAATCTAGAATTAGACTGAAGAAGTCTTAAACGACAGTTGTTATATCGCGATCAGTATGTCGCGTTATAACATGAACGAACATATTCCTTTAAGCCGGGTACACATTGGTGCAATGTAACATGTAATGCAACATGCAATGCAAGAATTTGACGTCCACATTGCTGCAATGTATCATGTAAAGTAACAGAATTCCCATAGTGTAGACGCCTTGCGCGCACGAACCGCGTCTACTACGCGCACGAACAGATTGTTGCAACTCTTGCGCGTAGCGACCCGAAATTTGTCGGTTTTTTCCCCGAACACAAAGAGGCGCGCAGTCAGTGTTGCCAGAAGGTTACTTTTGTAACCTTTTTGGTTACTTTTGAACTGCATTGGTTACTTTTAGGTTACACTAATAAAAAGGTTACTTTTAGGTGATTTTTCAGAAATTGTAGAATTAACTTTTACAGGTTATTCAGTAAAAAATATTAATAGTGACAATTTGAAAATGATGTCATAAACTGCATTTAAACATGAATTTGATTTATTATTTGTTAAAGACAATGAGTTTTAGCGAATGTTATTCGATAATGAAACGCAAATCCATGAAACGGTTTTATACGACCGGTCACTTTTCGGTCTTCATGATTGGAATAGTCAAAATTTCGAATTTAGGTAAACGATTGATGTGATCAATTGTATTCATTTTCCATCCATGAACAACCTTACACAATCGCTCCGCACCCCCCCCCCCCGTATGAAGGTTACTTTTTATTCAAAAAGGTCACATTTTTTTATATTTCTGGTTCTTTTTGGNATATCTATAGTTCTGTAATATCATTGATTAGACTGAAGAAGTCTTAAACGACAGTTGTTATATCGCGATCAGTATGTCGCGTTATAACATGAACGAACATATTCCTTTAGATTACTGGTTCCCCAATTTTCATACTCACCCTTACCCCACCTCAAAGGTATGCTTCTTCTACAAAGTCCCATAAAAATAAATAGTAACAATATTATCAATAAAACAATAAATCAAAAACCAAAAACTCAAGTGAAATAATTGTATAAACACTGGAAAAATCTGTGTATTCCAAATATAATTATTGCATTAAATATTGTGCTATGGAGATAATATTATCTTTGCTAAATATTATCCTGTTCTATAAAAATAAATATTAATAGCATGTAATATGAAATTTTATTAAAATACTGCTCAATCACACATTGTTCTAAGTTCATAACAATCACTTGTTCGACACAACGCTAGATCACGGACACTAACAATAAATTATGACTTATCGGAGTAATTAAAACATTGCTCTTATGCTGCGATCAACACCACAATCATTCTGGAACAAAGGGAAAATATGTTAATATTACAGAATAAATGTTTCAAGGACATCAACTATTAATAAAATTATGTTTAGAAACATGACGAAACAGACTTGCTGATGCATCGACAAAAATCTGCTAAATTGAAGACATTTGAACAGGATGTTACTTTCTTCAGAGTTCCTCTTATGTATACTTATATTCATGTATGTATAAACTTGGGTTGTCTATGTAAGAAGAATGTAAATTATTGAACCTTTTATCTAATGTAAGCTATGAATAGCTCATAAAAGAAGTAAATAGAAACTGATATTACTCACAGAATAAAGTACCATAATTACAATAAAAAGTATAAAAAATAAATCATTTATAAAAACGTACATTAAAATAGGATGGCGGTAACTTACCCATAAAGATACAAAAAGAACGACAACAAATAGAATGCCAGCTTGATCCAGCCTTCCCGTTGGCAAACTGTGAGAACGTCCGCATTCATGATGCTGGTCGGGTCGTACAGACCCGGGCCCGACATCACAGGCCTATTGTAATATCTAAAATAAGACAACTCTTATCAGGTCTTATCAGTGACATTGAGACTTTCATTGAAAGATCATTTTGTTTAAATGCTGACTTATGAACATAATAACCAGATATACCTATAAAGCACATCCTTAAATTGTTAGGTAGGACTTTATTATTCTCAAAATAGGGTCAACGAAACGCTTAATACGCCCGTTTTATCCTCATAAACATAACCTAAAATGTCTTACCTGTGAATGTGATACAAGATCAATGGAATGTTTATAAGCAAAGAAAACCATTCTCCAGATAACAGAAATAATAGGTTGATGAAAATATGCAGTAAGTACTCAGGCAGCACCAACTGAAAAGACAATATTTGAGTCACTTTTTAAAGGGTAATCTCAGGTAACCTACAATGACAAATCAAATTGGTTAAATACTAACTGGATTGAGGCTGTTACACTGATCTATTGGATTTTTATAATCGGTCTTAAGCTCATCGAACGCTATAACATGAAATATCGAGAAAAATATGAGAAAAGCGTCTACAATTAACGCTATAATATACGAAAACGCTGGGAAATTAAACGCCATTTTGACAAACTAAATCTAAATTTGACAGTGACAAAAGAATGACATAAATAGCTTGACAGTTTTTTTTATTTGACACTCGAATGATGCAAAGGAATGACGCAGAAATTATGTTAAGAATTTTTATGTTCTTGTTGTGTGATTTCAGTCTACTTTATTGACGAAATCGTACAATACTCTCATCAAATAAAAGGTGTTAACTTCATCAAATGATTATTTTGATGAATTTGTGAATTTGGCGCCAACTCATCATCCTCAACTTAATTGCCATACATCATGACGTGTTGTGACCTTGTGACCTAAATGCCTTTCGTAAATCCATTAGCATAATTATGGAGTTTCTAATGGAAAGCTGATTTAAATTAATTAGGTAATTAAAATATAATTATCATTACATTAAATTACAATTACTTAAACATGAATGAACGCATTCAAACTACTGTCATCGAATGACAGATCACCAGCTCATGCAAAATGCTATACGACCATATTTAAAAGTTCATGGTATTTAGCACCTTGCATACGACTATGAATCTTATTTTAACATTATAAAGATTGTTAATATTCTTGTTAAAACATCTGTGTATTGTATTTAGTATATGGTAGGGTTAATTATTGATGTGTTTTGCAGCTGGAAGAAAATTATTTTTTATTTATTTTAGAATTATGAAACGGTCGTATTAATAATTAAGATTTATATGTGTACAGATCAACTATGCGGTGCCTATATTTGCTGAGTGTTTGTGCTTTCGGGTTTGCTTTGTGTATCGAAAATGACTTCAAGGGGTTCGATGATACCATTTTATTTGGGATTAATTGGCCCGGTGCACCAGAACCTGTGGAAAATTTGGTAGATGGAGAGATAAACAAAACACAGGTAAGCTGGACATAGCCTTTTCACGCCTTTTCACATAGAATTTAATGAATTAAACATTTAAGATTTGTTGCATGAAATTACTGCTACTTGAGTTTTGCCCACATTTTAAACTTCAATTTATTGACTTAATTACTATACTATAGTTGCTTGAAAACTAATCTTACCAAAATATGTTTATATAAGTCCAGTTTATAAGCTATTGTTCAAGAAATAATATAATTTGGTATGCATTTTTCACAGCTAAAAAATAATAAGGAAATACTAAAAGTAACAACATCAAATAAGGAGCGCTACGATTGTTACCTACCAGAACTCAAGACGAAGGAGTCTGGTGACACGTCTGAGTATGATGGGCCTTCTCCGATCAATCTCCTAAAACCGTTGTTTGCGCAGAAGATATGCTCGTACAGGTTAGAGAGCTACTGGAGTTATGAGGTCTGTCACGGACGGTACATTAGGCAGTATCATGAAGAACGAGAAGGTAACTCAATATAGTTTCTGTATCAATTAGCACAATATTCTGTTCCAGTTTCCATGAAATGTTTCATTTCATTTCATTCCAATTTATTAATTCATTGTTCCAAAAACAATTCAAGCATAACAAGAATTATCTTATTACTTTTGGCAACATTTGTATTTTATGTTTAGCTGCAAGTTATCCTCTAGGATACTCATTATTATATTATGTGTAATAAAAATGTCATTGTCATTATATCTACAAATATAATAAAATTACAGGTAAACAAGTCAGGACCCAAGAGTATTTCCTTGGCCACTGGAGCCTTGAGAAGCAAGGAAACCTAGAAAAGGAAATACAGACGATGCTTGATAATAAAGTCCCACCAAAGACTACCAAAGTTGATGGCGTAAACTTGCCATATGTGGAAATGTTGCTGGAAAAAGGTATCTAATGTTTTCATATAAAAATGAAAGAGAAAAAAACTAATTTTGTCAACACTTTTAAGAACCTGAAACTTTAGTTCATTCATAATATTGTTGACAAAATGAAACTTTTTCAGCTAAACAATTATTTATGGTATTCTAATTATCATTTTCAGGTACATTATGCGACTTAAGTGGAAAACCTCGCATCACAAGAGTTTTGTATGTATGCTACATCCACGGCAAACATGAAGTTTATTCTTTCAAAGAAACAGCGACATGTGAATATGAGATTATAATCCTATCTCCATATTTGTGCGCTCACCCTCAGTTCAAACCTAAGGATGTTAGCGAATTGAACATTGACTGTTTACCGGTTGGAGATTCACCAAAGAAACCAAGACGTATGATAAATTTAGAGCTTCCAAACATAGAGGTCAGCCATGAAGCTTTTAAACTGATAGACGATGTGAGTGTATTGGAATTTTTTTATTCCTTGTTTATTATTTTAATGTGTTTGTTGAGTAATTTTTATGAAATATTTAGTTTTGTGACGTTTTGTCTTATGAGAATTATCTGTATCTCTATCTATACATTAATTATTTGAATGTTGTTGTAACCATTTTCTGCTAATATTCTCCTCAAATGATAGTGGATTCACATGAGACAAAATCCATTTCTTTTTTAGTGTTGGCAATAAGCTTACTTATGAGCAGTTTATTTTGTAGTGTAGCAATACTTAGTGGCTTATTAACATTTTTGTTGGCATGTACCCAGGATTTGGGATCTAAGGATGTTCTAGCAGTATTGAAAGTTAAAAAAATTGAGAAGGTAATTATTTGATTGCACATTTTTTTGTTTTATATTTTTAATCACAGTGTATTTTATGTGTTTTCATAAGGTCTTGCTCCCTGTTATGTATGATAACCTGTACAAGTGTAAAACAAGCTTCATTTGACTGAGTTAAGAAGGCATATGGATTGCAGTGAGCAGGGCCTAAAACAACTTTTGAATATGCATGTTTGTTGTTAGAGTAATATCTTTTATTTGTGATTATTATGAGGCAATAACGTAAGGTAAAACTTTATAATTACATGTTATGTATTTGTATATTGTATCTGAACTATTTGGCTTCTTTATTAATTTAGAGTTCTGATATGCTAAAGATTGAATCAATCAAAACCCAATTGACTTATGGAGATTTTCCATCTTGACTGAGCACACAGTGTTTGGTTGTAGTGTTAGATAGTCCCGAAAATAGGTTTACTTTATTATACTGACTGGCCCTGGGCACTTAACCTTAATGGTTGAGGGGATTCTTTACCTGAAAGAAGTGAAAACTGCCTACATACTTGAAAAGCAGNAAAAGCAGACAGAGGATTTTAGACCATATTCTCAGTCATCTAAACCCCATCATTCGTCTTCAATTAGTTTCCTAATATTTGCTATAAAGGCCATAACTTTAAACTACTTTGTAGGACGGCGAGACCACTCTCAAGTTTGAGTTGCACCCGATGACGGAGGATGAAGAAGGCGCGCAGGATTCCCTCAAGATCACTCAAGTTGAGGAAAAGTCTCATCCGGTTGTGACAGACGACTCGCCTGTCAGAGCGTTCCTGAATGGAGAGAACTGTCTTAATGGGGTAAGTAGTTTTTACAAAACTGTGGACACCCGATCTCGTGTAACCGCAGCCGTGACCGACAACTCACCCGTCAGAAGCGTTCCTGAATGAGGAGGAACTATCATAATAGCCTACATAGGTATGGATTGCTTTTTGCATCAATTAGTCTTATTCTGACACTGACATTGTCCACTGCCGGACTAAAGTCAACAACGACTTCCACAAAGACCGGTCTTGAGCTGGCGCATCCAAGCGTTTCCCGCGACACTTACTAAATCGTCGATCGTCAAAGAAAAGACTCGGAATAATACAAATAGTTTAATACTCGCAAATCTTCGTATTGTGTGGATATCAATCCCGTGACCTACAGCCATTATAAAACTACCCTCAAATCCCCAGGGCACGGGATGGTGGAAGTACGAATTCTGTTACGGCAAACACGTAGAGCAGTACCACATTGACCGCTCTGGTGAGAAGACTTCTTTGTTACTGGGCAAGTTCGACGAGCAAGCGCACCTCGACTGGATCAAGGAGAACAAGGGAAAAGCGCCCAAACCTGTCGGTAAGTTCCTTTATCCGTGTAAAAAAGCGTTTGTACTTTTAGTAAGATAGTAGTTTTGGCAAATCTTTGCGTCTTGGTCTTGGTGTCTAATAAATTAATATTATGTATTCTTATGTTATTTATTTTTAATCCTATGTAAGTGTATTATCTAAACCGTCATATTTTTTTGCACCGTCTTAAATCATAAACAAAAACAACCACAGATCAATTAGGATCTGTGGTTGACTGGCAGAGAATGCCACCTGACATTAAGTCAGCCACTGTACTGTATTATGTGCAAAAAGTATAAATAAATAAATGGTTTTCTATTTTGCCTGATTGAAGTACGGGTACAATGTACCCGCTTTTAAAAAGAAGTGTTTAACTCAATTTCATAGTTAAGTCATTTTTTTGTCGGAAATATTAATTTCTCAAAAAATATATCTAAAAAACCATCTTACCCTCCTCGAGACTTTTTTTTGCTGGTAGATAGTTTATTAGCTTTCTATTTCACACGACTGTTCAAGGCGACGGCTCTCGAACGACTGACTGATGATGACACTTCCCCCACCATTTTGCTTACGAGCGCGGTCACGTGATTTCCAATATCAAAATATTAGTTGCCATTTTAAAAACTTATTTCACGACTGTTCAAGTCGACAGCTCTCGAACGACTGACTGATGACACTTCCCCCACCATTTTGCTTACGAGAAATCACGTGATTTCCGCAATTCAAGATTAAAGTTGCCATTTAAAAAATACATATACAAGTTTTGTTTAATATTTTATTATTAGGATTTTGGATTAATTAAAATTCTGTGTGTAATAATTAAATAAGTTACGTGTTTTTCCACCACAAAATTAATAAAAAAAAAACTTCTAAAATGCATTTTTCTTCATTCCGCAGAACAACGCGCATCAGTGTCTCACTTCTATTCCAACGGCGACATATGCGACAAGACCGGCAAGCCTCGCCAGACCGAAGTTAAACTCAAGTGCCTGGAGAACTCCTCAAGCCCCGCCCAGGTATCCCTATATCTCCTAGAGCCTAGGACCTGCCACTACATCCTAGGGGTCGAATCGTCCCTTATCTGCGATATTCTGCCCCTAGCCGACGAGAACGGGCTAATAAAGTCTCCCATCACAAACGTGACGAAAGATGACGCTGTAGTGGAGAATGAGATTGACGATGACGGTGATGGGAAAGACGACATAGTCCCTAAATTCGGCAATGATTAGTCATTAGTTAGTGTGCAATAAAGTGGTTGTTTAGTTATGATGTAGTTTGTTTCAAGACTGCCCTTAAAATAATCTAATAGTTACATGTTGGGCGCCAAAATTTTTTTTCGTGACTACTATGTTGTTCGCCAAATTTTTTTTCTTATTTATTATTGCCGAAATGTAGAAAACGCGAAAGTATGTAGTTTCTGTTTTGAGGTAAATGGGACTTGCACCTCATAAATAATGGATAAGTTAAAAATCAGTTTTTTAATAAGTAGAGGGATAAAGAAAAGCCACATGTTTTAACTTGACATTTATTTACATTCATATCAACAAAACGGGTGTTGTATAAAACAGTTCTTTTATTTGTTTTTTCATACCAATTGTATACCTACTAAATAGGGTGCTCCAAATGTGTAAAAATAAATTTGCTTCCGCATTTAAGATATGCTGGTTCGTAGGTACCGTGACTCGAGTGTTCCGTCGTATCAATTTATAAGCGACAACCCTAGTTTGGAATGTTGACCGATTGCAAAAAGGAGAGTTCAACTTAAAAGATTTTTATGCAATATCTAAGATTTCATTATTTCATACTTTACAATGTTGTTTTTTGGTGTAATTAACACTGGTAACTTTTACGCTCTTTATTCATAAATTCAATAAGTAAATTATGTAAAGTACAGTCACATTCAAAAACTGAATATTTTTTTGTGTTAATGTAAATTTTACATTATCTAATTCATTAATACAGAAATTGGTCAACATTCCACTTAGACAATAATATAAATAGCAATTTAGCGTATAATACAAAGTAATTTTCATGTTGGTCATCAAGTCGCACATTCAACAACACTGATAAAATGCCAGAACGCATTTATGCATTCATTTCAACGAGAAACCAAATCATGAGAAGCGTTATCACTAATTTATTATCCATTTGAAGCTTATGGCAAACTTTAGGTAACGATACAGTCTGTATGCGAAATACAATCAACCACAAAATTATGTCCTTGTGTGTGACTCTATGAAAGACGATATCGTTTATTGTCTAGTTGTAAATTATTGACATCACTTAAAATTTTGTCGTTGACAGTATTTTCACAGTAACACTTTTGCTGTTGATTGTATTTTTACAAAATGTCATCAAGACTAGCGGGTTGCCAGATTAAAAAAAGGATCGCAAAACAAAAGTAATTATTTATTTTAATGCTGGCCATACATATTTTCAAAACCTCAAACGCCAGCCGTGTTTTTTTTTAATAATTTTGTAATACAACAACAACAGTGAGGTCCAGAGGCGTCTCGTCTAAGATACCTAGAAAATGTGGGTAAAAAATCGTCTTATTTTTAAATTTTATTTGACATTTATCTAGATCACACCTTATCAGGCTAACCGCGGTCGTGTCCAGGATTGTGTGTCCGTCACCGTTATTCCCGATGTCAAAGATTTAACAATACATTTTTATAATAATTTATACCTTACAACAAGAAAAAAGACAAAAGCTGACCTCGAAGGTTCGCTAAGAACTCACTAAAGGAATCAATCACATGACAGCTAACTGAAACACTGCTTACTACTTGGGAACTTATTCAGTCTAGGTATTGTCTTTCTTCAGACAGCAAAAAGAGACTAAATTAAAACTAAAATAAACCCATCTTGATAATATATTTTTTTAAATAGAATATAATACTCAACTAAATTTACACCGATGATGGTCTACTCAGTTCTTGTATAGACGTTACGTTTAACCCCTTCACAAATAAAAGTTACACGCGCGTTATACACGACTTAATTTAACACGTTAGACGCCACGCGGCTCACCGGTGAGCCTCGAACAATAATTTTAGACTAGCGTTTAACGCGTGTATAACCTTTTATTAGTAAGAGTTTACAACTAAATCTGACGACATGAAATTCCATTGGTCATTACATTTTGAACTCATTGGCACAATGTTAACGGAACTTTAAACGATACAAATTACTCTTATATAATTTTTTCACTTTTCAAACGTACACATATAATTCTTTGCAAGTAAAGAAAATATGCTTAGTATTTAATTTTTCTTCGTCCATATATTATTGAGCGTTTTATAGGAATACACGAAATAATATTAGGTAATACTTAACTTGTTTAATCTTTAATATTTCTATCTAATCGATAAAAGATGTAGTTTCAAAGGTTATTATTTTTTACGCACCAAAACCTTATCAAATTTATGTATGTTATCATGTTACAGTAAAGTAATAGGTTTTTATTAATTTATTATTATCCTATTTCATCAAACGTTGAATTATTTCGTAGTTATTTACTCAATCCGATTTTGGTGTCGTAAAAAATATTAAAAATAAGCGAAATGTGCCAGAGTTTTTAAACACGAAATATTTGTGAACGTATACAAGTAATAATAAAAATATGTATTAAGTAGGTAATTAATAAATACCCAACTTACGAAAATAGTAAAATTATCTAATATTAAATTACTTAAACTAACAAAATTTTTTGACTAAAGGGCCAGTGTTCGATGTGTTACAAATTCAAATATTTGTATGACTGCGATCATTATAATGTACACGTGAATACACAGACATACACAAAGATGTGTTACGATTAACGCACAGATATCTCAAACTGTAATATTACGTCACGGAGAAGAAAAAGAAAATAAGTAAACAACTGAACAGATATGAAAACATTGCTAGTGAAACATACAAATACACGTCATAAAACTTATGTCGATATGATTTCCATAATTTTTCCTAAAAATATAAATATGACACATGATTGACACCTACCCTACTATTTTGTATGGTACGCAAAAACACTGTAAATATTCTTAGAATATTATTGTTGGAAACAGAAATATCGTTTGAGATATCCATACCAAAGTCCATTATTTTAGTGACATTTATACACAAAAAATGTTTAAAAGTTTAAGTACACTATTGACAACATGTAGGTAAACAATAAATACACTGATCACTTTGAGATCATTTTGTTATTCTAACAACTTACAATTTTAAACAAAAAAAGACTAAGACTGAACTGACAATGGCCACACTCATGATTAAAAGTATAATCAACTATGGTAACACAAAATAAAGAACAAAAATCTAACAAAGTTATAATAATAAAGTTGTTCTATTTGAACGTAACGGTTAAATTAACTATAAGCAATACTTATGCGGTAAGTTGAATAATATGTCTTACGATAGACCGGTACCGTCGCCAATGTTACACAAATGATAACGGTAAAATAACGTTGTCCAAAACCGGTATTTGCATCGGTACCGTATCTTTGGCGTTTACGTAAATGTAATAATGTAACGCGTTCAACTTATTCTTAAAGTGACTATAACTTAACTTTAAAGTAGAATATTACGATAATAAACAAAATTTGGGGAATACTTTGGAAACGATAAATCCTTTGACACAAACCTTAACCTTATACTTATTAGTTAACAACTGTGCACGCCGCTCCTCACCCAGTCCAGTGCACCGAAACATCACAACAACCGTTCGGAATCTTACAACCTCATTGCAAATAGTTTTTGTTTTTTTATTTCAAAAAAATATTCACTAGGAACGAGTTCTGGAATAAGCTAGTACGGTCTCGATAGTTCTTTGGAACGTTTCAATTGAACTTTGAGTCTCTTTGTACCTATTTGGAAGCCGTTCATGGCTTGTATGGCGGCCTGGGCGGAGGCCGCGTTGTCGTACGACACGAAGCCGAAGCACTTGGACAGGTTGGTCTGTTTGTCTATGAACACTTTGGCCGAGATCACGTGGCCGAACGGCAGGAACGTGGAGGCCAGGTCGGTGTCCGTGAACTCCTGCGGCAGGTGGTATATGAACAGGTTGCCGCCTTCCGGACCTGGAAAGTAAAATTTCGAACGGTTAGATAAAGATAGTACTAACTAGTTATCATCATTTGTTTATAGACTTATTCCGGCTAATCAAAAAGTAGTTCATTCTACTATTCCATTTCTATCACAACACAACCATTCGACGAGAATAGCATTTGACTATTTTTGTATTTGGGAGGGTACATTAGGTAATATCAGTATCACCTTGTATTTTTCAATTGCGTCTAAATTAATTGACGAGAAAAGTAAACTAGAACTTCCTCACAAAATTGTTTGCCTTTAATTTGTCATTTCAGCCAATTGCAGTACACTGTTGGATTTAAGTGTAAATGCTCGGTTTCTAAATCTAGCTACAGCCATATTTTTGAGGTCGTCGGCCCATCTGGATAACACATAAAGAGCAATGAGTAGTTAAATTACAGAAGCGACAGTCTTGACCTTTCTGCCTACCTTCGACCTGCTTCCCAGCGGCCGCGGCTGCTGCGGAGCCGAGCACGGAGCCGAGCGGCGCGGCCGCGAACGCGCTGCCGAACTGCGCTGCGTACGCCGAACCGAGCGGCTCGGCTGTCGACCCTATAGACGCCATTTTGTTAGACATGTCACTCGTAAACAGAGAACTTTGGGGTATTCAAGAGTTTTCTAAACCAATAAAAACTAGTTAAATGGTGTTAAAATAGCTAAAATAGGTAGCTGAATTAAATACAATATTTTTTTTATCATTGAGCCTTTTTCTAAACTCGAAAGTTGCAGATAACAATTAGGTAAATATAATTTTTATTGTCAGGGAATGTTACCAAGCCTATTTTACACCTACCTCATACATAAAACACATGAATCTTAAAACAAAAGTATTGTTTAGTTATTTAGCACTTCCATGCAAAAACAATAAACGAAATGTTAATGTAACACGGAAAGTTAATGTCGCAATATTATCACAAGCTATGTAATAATTTGCACAGTAAGCATCAAACGATATGAACCGTGGATAACAAACTGTGCAGTTTCGCTTCAAATATGGCGACACGGGCAAACTACCAACAGAAAGAACAAAGATTAAGTAAGAAAACAGACGGGTCATACAGAAGCCGTCAAAATCAAACAAACGTGTCACAGCATTCTATTAACAATTATCGAGTTAATTATTAACTTCATGTCAGAACTTAAGCCTATGGTAAACTTTGGCTTTTTAATTAATTAGGTAATCAGTTTACAAAAGTTTGACATGCAGCTGAATTATAAATCTGTCCAAAATTGGGTACAATATTTATTTTATGTAAATATATTTAAATATTATTCCCGTTCTTGGAGAGAGAAAAAAAACATTGTGTTACAAAATAAAAACAAGAAAGCATCCTGCCGCCGAACAACGAAATTCGAACAAAAGTTTACTCAAACAAAAAATATTTTACAACATGTTTTAAAACTTGCACAAATCGCTGCCAAATTGTTGATTAACGGTAAGCCTATGCACAAGCAACTGCAGGCTCTACCTACAACGCCAACATAGAATAAAACCAAGCCGAACCTACATGTATCGAGGTACCAAATGAGACAGACTCATTGATATTCTGTATTAATTCCGTGCCGAGTGTGTGCGTGTTGCCTTGTTTTAATATCCGGCCACACAAGACAATGGCCGGTCCTTAGTTTTTATATGGAAAAGTTGCGACCATTTATATTCTGTCTAATGCGCATTGTCCTTTGAAATGTGTCATGAGTCACAGCGAAAGACTATGAATAGTTTTTAGACGATAAAAATAAAGATTAAATAACATTTATTTAGGTAGAAACCAAATGGTCTGTCTCATTTAGCACGTTACTCTTTGAAGCCAAAGATAAGTCATTCCATGTAAGATAACACACACTTTCGATGTCATTGCATTTTACCTGTAATGTTTGTCTTCCCGAGAAGACCTGAAGTGTGAAAAATGTTCATCGTTAATTAACTTTTTTTTAACTTTTCTCAATAATAAGTCCAACCTGAAATAGGAAAGTTTGCGGGCAAAAACGGTCGTTACAATTTTTCATGGCTTAACTTATGTAGTGGATGTGCTACACTCCAATTAGATTGGGGCAGGAAGAGCAATTAGAGCTGAATTTATTGAGCTTAATTGTCCTGCGGAGGTCGAATTTAGGTAAAGGACGGTCGTTAATAGAGTAAAAGAAATGACAATTAAGGTTGGCAGTTTTATCCGAGCAGTGCTCGCCGTACCTCACGTAATGAGGACGTTCCGATTCAAGCGGCGACGCGGCATTCGTTGAACATAATTTGTTTGCTTTCTTTGCTCAGAAATTAAGCATCCCGGTACTTATTGGTAAAGGAGCTTTTCTAGATACTTGCGTGCTGACTTTCTCTTGCGAGGCGTATGTAAATTTTCACTTGGTATAAGTATTGGCAACACTTATCGTAAGTAGAAAAGACAACACAACGCGTGGGTCTATCGAGCGAAGGCCGCGTTTCCTTTTAAAATATCTTATTATGCTTTTCCTTTGGGCTTTGGCACTTGATATTCACTTAACTCACGAACTTTGTTGTTTTAAATACCCTACAGTATTCGAAGTCGAAATACCAACGTTTTTCGTTGGTTCTCCAACTGCTATGGTATCGAATCGGAACGTTCCCATTATAGGATCTTATTTCACATTCTGATTTAAAAGACTTTGCCAGTAACTATTGTCAGTAATGCTTAACATTTTTAGTTAAATATTCCATTATTGTTTAAAGTAGGTAACTAATGAAACTGTAATTAGTTGACAGACTTCATTTAAGTTTAGTTTAATAATACCTACTATAGTTTTCAAGTGAAAATGAGCCGAGTTAGACAACGTAATATTCTATAAAAATGCATCAAACTGATGTCCTGATAAAACTTATACGTCATCAAATGTGTCAGAGAAGTTACGTTGTCTATCTACTGGCGCAAAATTCTACGGTGACTGCAAGGCCTGTACCGTCTTTAAGTCAGCAAGCAAGATGCAGGGACAGAGTCTGCTCTGTCTGCTATTCTTCCATCTACGTCTCTAGTGCTATTTGTCCCACTGAATTAAAATATAGAGTAATCTCTAAAGCTTCAACCACACCAACGCGTGCAGACCAACCCGGATCAAAGGCCTATGACTAGTCGCGTGAACTGTCATAGGTTGCGCGACCTGTCATTGGCCTTTGATCCGGCGATGGCGATCTGCACTCGTTGGTGTGGTCGAAGCATAAGGGACGGTACAGCCCTTGCTTCAACTAGCGCCGCTCCAGCGTCAGTAATCCACAATAAAACAACACTTACACAATTGGGGCGCAGCGGGCTGAGGCGCTGCGGCTGGCATGGGCGCAGCTTGCGTCACCACAGGCGGCTGCGTCATCGCCGCAAGCGCAGCGAGGTTCTGCACAGACACCGGTGCCAACAGCCCCCCCAGTTGCTCTGCCCCCCCTCCGACCCCGCTAACCGCCCCCCCGCTCAGCCCTGCGCCATTGAAACCGATATCTTGGTAGTTAACACCTAATGCCAAACGAAAAATCAAGTCAACAAAAAATAATAAGCAAATAAAAATTAAGGTGGGGAATAAAATGGATGCAGTAGCATAAACATGTTAGATAGTCTCTAATCGGTGTTGGATAAGGAATTCGTATTATAAGTAGACATTCATATTTGGTCCTGTTTCATTCTTATTTCTATAGCGCTGCTTCTTCCCAGCACTGGCCTACTTATTTGCCCAAAAATATAGCGCTTTGTAGAAGACTATAATTGCAGAAATAATACTTATCTCTTTACAAAAACGTTTACATTACATGACTCCTAAAATACACATGTCATTCGTTAATACCTCTTTGAGGGACATGTGTCCATACGGTATTCCTCGTTCCCATCTCACATTGCCCCATACAAAATTTCAAAGAAATTCGTTGCAAGGCATAACGCGCTTAGCTGAACACATGGCCGTAGTGTTATGCAAGCCCGTGAAAACGTAAAACAAACTCTTAATGTTGAATAATTATGTGAACTTAGAGCCATTGTTTAAAACGAGCCCGAAGCTTTGACATTTTTATACATAACCGTTATCCAAACGCGTTAGATAATGCTTTTAATGGGAATTCCGAGCTAAGTAACTTTTTCCGATTTCATCTTATTTGACGATAGATTAAATAATTTCACATGAAACAATGGTTGAGAATGCCTACTGGCATTAAGTCCGCAATTTGTAAATTTTTCATGTGCAATATAGGATTAAAATATAAACTCTGAAAATCAGTTTTCGTTAAAATTAAAGATTAATTTTGTAGGACTAAATCCGGAATTATTGCGTGATATTTGATCAGGAAATGTCCATGTCGAAAACCGTTACATAGACTTAAATGATCATTGAATTCAATAACGAAATTAAAAGGAAAAAATCTCTTAGCTCAATAACCAGCAAAATAAAAACAAAACTAAACCACTAAACTACCAAATAATAAAAACAAAATTGATGAAGTACCGTCATTAGTGAAGATACCTTGCAGTATCGTGGAGCCTTGCCCTTGCAACAGCTGTTGCTGGAGACCAACCGCTTGCAACTGTTGCAGCAGTTGCAACTGCGTTGCCGGCGACAACGCAGCCTCCGACGCAAGGTACGCAGCCGGCGCCACCGGCGTCGTCAGCCCCCATAGGCTGGCTTGCATCGCTTGAAGCTTCTTCTGCTCTTTCTCCTTTTGCGTGTCGGCGAATTTGACTACGAGCGGCGCTGAGCAACCCTCCATCGTTTGACTGTGGTGTAGCGCCTGGAATTTGAAATTAAAGTATTTAAATAAAAATATAAGAATAATGCCCGCCATCAATCCCTAATTTTTAAGTGACTATGTAAACAAAATTCCTGTTAAGTGTAACCATAGGGGTCACTTAAAAATTAGGTATTGATGGTGAAAACGGGCATCAGTATGTTACTGAGTTCTTGACTAAGTAGAGTCATTTAGACTCGTCATCTGCCAATAATGATTGCCTTGAGTACGGAGTAGAAGATAAGAGATCTTATAAAAATGAAATTTTTAGTTGATTTTCAAATAACATCCTAGTTAAGTGTGACTTTAATTTTCAGGCAAATACTCTTAAGTAATTTAATTATAATATGGTTGAAATGCGAAAATTACGAGTATTCGATCATAATTCCATTGTTTGATACCTAATGTTCATCAAATACTGACATTCCTGCCTGATCATTTCGGCCTGTCATTATTGGTTTCTATTTATATATCTATTGGCCTATTTTACTACTGAATAGCTTCCGAAAATTAGGTGGATGCGTTTACTTGATACAAATTCCCCACATCGGAGCCTGTTAATCACCTAAAATGTGAACAGGCGCTCACGCACGCCTCGGCTCGCCAAAGCGCGTAATGTCCATCTGCGTTCATTCATTAGCCGTATTACATGGGACTGTTAGGGTCGATGCACACTGCGTAGCAGTACAGGTAGCACGAAAAAACTTCGAGTTCGAATCGTTTGCGTATTCGAATCGCCATCAAAATATTTAGTAAGGAAACTACGACAGCGCCCTTGTAACGTGGTGGGTTACCTACGTGAGTGCGGCAAACATTACATCGAATTTTATTTCTTCGAAAACCTTTCTGCGAAGATACTAAACTGTGACGCCTTGTTATATCGATACCTTGTTACTGCGATGTAACGTTACATCGAAAAACTTTACTGCGAAGCCTTCTTTAATGCAATTTAATAACTAAAGGATACATTTATTATGAAAGTTATTAATTAGGGTGAACACTGTCAAGCCAAAAATCTCAATTTAGAAACCGGAACTGATAATTTCAGGATTTTACAATGTTTATGATCTCAACTTTAGGCGCGATGATGCAAAAATGACGTTTTACAAATTTATATTCCCCTACTCCGCTAATGCCCGTTTTCACCATCAATCCCTAATTTTAAGTGACCCCTATGAAAGGTAACACAGCAGGAATTTTATTTTCTTAAGGTTCACTTAAAAAATAGGGATTGATGGTGGAAACGGGCGTAAGTGTGTGAACCGGGCGTTAGCCAGATTGCGTCCTGTATGGCCCTGTCCACACCCCGTCAGCAGCCCAACGTGCGACGTGGTATTCTGACATTCGCATTTCGCCAGTCGGATAGCGGCCTTTATCTTATTCAAACGGCTTCGTGGTGAATTGTGCGAAATTCAGTTCAAATGCACACTACTAAGCCTTTAGGTACGATGATAAGACCCTAGTTTGTGGTCGACTGCTTTTGCTTGACCTTTATTCAGATTAATCACATTTAATTCAGATTAGGAAAGGTTTACTTTAAAAGTAATACTTAATGCCTTTTTTCCAACAGCTCTTCATCATCAGGGAATCCATAACAAGTTTTAATCAAGGAACGCTTGTAGGTCTGACTGTAAGATTTAAGTTTTTTTAATTGAAATTAGATATTGTTGATGAGACAAGCCTGCCAAAGCCAAGCCTAAAACCCTGGTGAGACATTAGGTATTTTATTGATTTTGCTAAACTTCGATGTCGTATGTTTTATTTGATTTTGTGTCTACGAATGCTATGATAACTTTCTCTTATATCAAGACAGTGTTATGTTGTCATCAATCTATACATACCTACACACTTTTTTGGTAATCAGGCTGAGTGGACCAAAAGTACAGCAGTTGCCAAAAATCGTGACAATGTTTATCACTAGCCTTGCTACGAGTATTTATATGACAAGGTAAGGTTTCCGTGTCATTCTGACATTACCCAGTCAGATAGGTGGCACATTCCCGCGGCCTCGGGCTTCCGCGAAATAGCGATCGCCACAGAACTGAATGCCATTTGTGTTTAAAACTAGGTATTAGTATTTAAACACAGTCTTGTCACACGAACTGAATTTGCCTACGTTAGGTATACAGGGTGTCCCAAAAAGTAGCGTCAAGCCGAAGCCCAGAGGTAAAGCATCACTCGGGCTACCGGAATCACCTATATAGGGATTCTTATACACTTATTATTAACTGTTTTAGTATCATTTTCAACTGTTTTTAAAGAGTAATCCGTGGTTTGGATGTGTAATTATGTCAGTGGACGCAAACAGGTGAAATGACCCTAGTTTTCAGGTTGTATTTTGCCTGATATAAACTTGTCTGATATTCTATTAATGTCTAAGATATCAACAGACATAGGAAAATATTAAGAAACAATATTGGTTCACGAGTGGGTGACACGTAGACATTTACTCTATCTATACAATAATTATAATATTAAATCAAAAAACCTAGAAATATATCTTCCGCAAATAAAACGTTTCTTGTGGGCGGCGACATTACGAAATGAGAGTCGGTGTACAGACCTTTTTATCACAGTAGATAAATCAAACAGTACGGAAGCTTCATACAAACGCTCGAAATCAGACTCACGCACACAGACGCACGCTTTACACGAGCTCTAAGCGAACCTCGTAGTCCATCCGTCGCGAGTGTCGCGCGCGTTGTGTTTTTAATAATAATTTTATTGCATGCACTATTTTTAAAAAACATGCCACGCACGAGTGTATTGCGTAGTAGGTATATGGCTGCTTGAACTCGGCAACTTCAAAACCAGAACTTTCATTTTTTAAACTTCGTAATAATTCTGAATTGTAAAAATGATTAAATATTACTTTTTAAATAAAGTGCTTACATCTGATTGTGTAATAGTTCTTTTTAAATTACGTAATTACGCTTTTTAACAATTTATGTGTTCTATTTGATAAAGTAATTTGCTCCGCGCGCTTTTGTACTAAGTGATGAACTGTATTTAAAATGAGGCAATNGTTTTTATTTTATCAGGATATACCGCTTAGTTTAAAAGTTATGACGTTTTCTTTACAATAAGTAATTGGAAGAAAAAAAATTCGATAAAAAATAAAAAAAAAATCTCAAAAATTTTTTGACCTCATTTTTGTCGATAAAAATAGGTCTAGTTTCATCTATTTTCATATGTACACTTTAACGTGACTCACACTGTATAGGGATTCTTATGCACTTATTATTAACTGTTTTAGTACCTATAATTTTCAATCCGTGGTTTGGACGTGTAATTATGTCAGTGGACGCAAACAGGTGAAATGACCCTAGTTTTCAGGTTGTATTTTGCAACAAAAATGTAAATACTTAAAATTGTCTGATATTCTATTAAGGTCTAATAGATCAACAGACAGAAAAATATTAAGAAACAATATTGGTTCACAAGTGGGTGATACGTAGACAATTAACTCTATTCAAAATATTCTATCAAAAAAAGTAGAAAGGTATCTTCTAATGAGAGTCGGTGTAGGTACTTAGACCTTTTTATGATCCTAGTCTTGTAATCATTAGATAGGTATTTACCAACGGTATTTAAAAAAAACGGAACCTTATAGCTTATAACATAAGTAAAAAATAAGACACTATCTAAATGTTTAAAAGGAGAAACTGACTGACTGACTGACTGACATATCAACGCACAGCCTAAACGACTAAACGTAGGCACATGCTGTTAATTGCGGTACCTTAGTAAACTTAAAGCTTAGTTACACCAGGATATTGCAAAATTCCCACGGGAACGGGAGTTAGCGGGAAAAACATTTGTATGAAAAAATCTAAACCGCGTAAGATAGATGAAGGGGGTTAAACGGGATCCACGCGTAATAAGTCGCGGGCGGCCGCTAGTTAACTAATAAAATAAAGGATTTTTATCAAAATGTCTGCCCCGAGGCCCCCGAGGCTCCTATAAGTATTTTCTGTTTAGTATACTTTCCGATAGAACAACAAAAGGTAGGATAGAGCAAATAGACCCACCCAAGCATAGGAATTGTTTTTACAGAATAGAACCCCCGAATAAGAGGATTGTGTTCGAGAAACGATATCGTCAAAACAAAGCCGAATTAATCTCCCCCTGAGTTCTGTTTTCCGATCAGTAAGCCTGCTTAGGATGGTTAGGATTAGAACTGAATTTGATGGATTGAGTTCGCGATGTTCTATGTAGTTATTAACAACCTATGGGATAAAGCTCAAAGGTCTATGTATGAATTATACCTACTCGTGTTTATCATAAAGTAGGTTCTATCGAGATAGACTCTTGTGTGGTCGATAACTTCTGCCACGATGGAGGCTCTATGGTATTTTAGGGAGTGAGGGTGTTCGCGATTGAAAAATCCGCCAGATGGCGAGACGTGGATGTAGGGTCTGACTGCTGCGTGATTGGTGGATTTTGACATATCTGTCAATGTCATGTCAAAAATAACCAATCATGCAGCATTTAGACCTCGCGTATTGCCATCTGGCGGATTTTTAATCGCGAAAACCCTCGTTGGAGTATGCGTCAGTCAGAACCTCGGGTCATCATGAAATTTCGTAGTTTTCGAAACACAAAGTTCCACCGCCAACCTGACGTCAGGTTGTTGTACTTCTACTATTAAATACCAGAGCATGTTTCATTTGATTTCATGATACCCCAATCGCGGTTCTGACACACACGGAGTAAGACTCTTGTTAATCAGGAGATACATATTTTCCTGACGATAAAAAAGTTCGATTACTAAGGAGCGGAAAATTACACACCTATTACTTAATTTAATATATGTATTGTATTTTGATCTCTGTATATTTACGGATTCAGATTCTGTACAGAAGCTCACTCTGATTGCTAGACCGGCTGAAGTTGTGCCATGGAATTAGTTTTCAATTTTCGTCAGCAAAACGTTTACAATTATTATTTGATAGCATCGCGCAACACCGTGCGTTCCTGGATCGCGATATAGGTTTATGCTGTCAAATATCCAATTGATGACGTCAGCAAAAGCTTACCTTGATAGCAGCGATGGCGGCCTGCTTCGAGACGAACGTGACGAACGCGCAGCCCTTGCTTTGACCCTGCGCGTCGCGCAACACCGTGCATTCTTCGATCGCGCCGTGCCCCGCGAATAGTGCTCGCACGTCGTTCTCAGACAGTTTCTTGTTCAGCATGCCCACAAATAGTTTGCGTTCTGTGGACAAAAGAAGAAAATGCGTAAGTTATTGCTTCATTTCTACAAAACAACAAAAAAAATCGGAATGTAATTTTGGGAATATTTAAAAATATAGATCTGAATATTGTGCTGTCATTTTCACTTTATTTATATGCTCCATGAAACGTATTACGTCCTACTCAATCAGCAAGTCGAATGAAAAGTTCTAAAAATACCAATGTAATCATAAAACACCTCCTTAAACTTTAAACATTACGCTTCTATTTATTACTGCAGAGTTTTACACAAAAGCCGTAAAGGTCATGAATCGTGACGAAGGTTAAGCATTAGTTATTGTCTTTGCCAACATCAGTGACGTTCTTAAAAGTCTTTGCATGTTTCAGCAGTGCCGCTAGTTGAAATCACTCAACACTGATTAAAATTTGATGCTTGACTCATCGCTTCGGCGTCTACAATGGGTGCTCCATTGTCGCTGTCCATTAAAAAATAATTTGCCCCGCGAGGAACTCTCTTCCTTTCACGAGGCGTTAAACATTAACTCATTTTACTCTATCACATATTCACCAAGGCTCCGTATTTGCATCGGACAAGCCTGTGCATTGTGGCACCGAACATCGGGTCTCAGAAATCCTTATGATCCTGAAATATGTAGTCCCCGCACCCAGCTAGTCGGGTTAAGTGCGAATTTACGACTTTCAACCCACCACCGGCCATAAAGCATTTTTGCTTCCGCGCATACCAATGCACATGCCTTCCCAGCCTTTAAACTTTAAGATGCCCATGCGCGTAAAACAAAAGTATCCGCACAAAAGTTTTCTACTTTATTCACAGTACGTCTCAACAACTTTATTCCATACACAACTTTTATTTATGCTCGAGAAACCTAAGTTACGTTATGCTTTATTATTCAGCCTGAGCGCGCAATAACACACAACGCGAATTTCAAACGATGTAAACGGGTTAAAATGTTGTCGATCTCAGTTCAGCCAGTGGAAGGTGGAATTGCAATGCGGGTGGTTTTTACGCACAAAATCCAACATTTGGGGCTTTCAATCCCCGGCGGACGAGGCGAGGCAAAATTGAAAAGGTGCCGAGCGGGGCCGTCTGTTACAAATATTTCATGCCCGCAAAATCAGCACGCCCTCGCGCGGAGATTAGCATGAAAATGGTGCGAGAAAACGGGACGGAGATCTCGTGAAAAACCCAGTCGACGGAGCGTGCATACCCTAATTTCCACCGCTTTGCTTTGTACACCGGATGAATGTTTAAATTTGAGAGATCAGCACACGTGGAACCGCTCATGCGGGCTGCGAGCGCCTCTGTTCAACAGCCAATCTTCCGCGACTCGAAAACTCGCGATAACGCAAAACGTTAAGAGAGAATTAAGTCTAACTCGATTGCTTCAGCCTTGAAGAGGCTGAAATACATTTTACGACAAACGTAAAGAGTATCCAGATTGAAGTAATTTGATAATGATAATAAAGGGGAACCGGCGAAATGGTGCTACAAAGGTCCTTCGAGCCGGATTTACTCCACAACGTGTACAACATTATTACCAGCACAATGTTCAAAATGTTGTTGTTATGAAAACGCGGTGGATATCAAATACAAAATATGAATATGTTAATGATAGCATCATTCATAAAATATCAGTTATAGAAGTTTAATGAATTATTCGCAGTGCACTTAAAAATAATTATACGAGTAACATAATATTAGCATGGGTATTTACGTAGTCTTCTTAGTTACTAAGTATGTCATAAATTATAGTATCCGATTACGAAATCTCAATTGTTGAAAGAGAGACTGAAACGTGAATATTCACTTTGAAATACAACTTTTAAGGTTAAACCGTTTATTACCAATTACCACGTCGAAAACAGCATAGAGAACGTTCAAAGTGGTCATAACTTTATGGATAAACTTGACACAATTGACGTACCTACATTTGATTGTGGACACAAGGCATCAAGGGACGTGTGATTACGCATTTCATTTACATCTTGCGGCGTTGTCAAGGTTGGCAACGAGTTTTCAATGTAGCTGGGACTATGCCAATAGTTACAAAAAGCAACTTAAGCTTTCAACGTAGGCTTCTTTCTTACGTAACTGTTTGAGACCGTTTTCTTTTCAGTCAAATATATCGATAGTGATGTGAATATAGCTTAGCTGCCAAATTGAAAACTCATCGGCAGGACTTATTACTGAAAACGAAGCTGGTTAGCCGTCTCGCTTAGCATGTCTGCCGCTCTACATTAGTGCAGTGTAGTTGGTAGATTCCGAAACATTCGATACATACAGTGATATCGTACGGGTACGTTTTCTTCGAAGACTTAGGCTGGGTTGCACCATCTTACTTTAACTATAACAAACGTCAAAAGTATGTCAAACTCACTAAAAAAAACCACCGGTTATGTTCATAGTTACGGTTTAAGTTAGGTGGTGTAACTCAGCCTTAGAACTGTCAGTTAATTAGCTAAAAAATGTTCTTAGATAAGTGGGCGCGTCACAAAGTCACCTCGTCAGGCTGTCCCAACGAAGCAACTACTAATTACACCGTTTAAAGTGAATCCTCTTTTAAACGTAGCGTAATCAGTTTAAATGTACAAGTAATTGTGTGCTTAGCACAAATAACGTTTTAAAACGTTAATGCTTTAAGTGCCCCATCGGGCCCCGTTACGGCATCGTTCGTTAAACAATTTACATAACCTCTCGTCGGGGGAGGCAGACGTTTGTAACATAATATAAGAAGGAATTCGGAACAATTACAAGAGGTACGAAAGAGACCTCCTTAAGAGGATGAGCGGAAGGCTTTACATTTCGGAGATACATTGTTACGTATTTGATTTCTGCGGAGCGCGAGCGGTTCCCGTAATGCCTTTTTGTGTTATAGCAACATCGAAAGAGATACGAACGTATTGCTACTACTAGATATGGTTCGTGTTATTAATTGGTGTTTTCAATATTATGTCGCTTAAATGAAATATTGCGGATAAATTATTAATATTGGTCTTTGCGCCAAGACTTGACTTTGACCTTAAAAAGTGTAACGTTCAAGTTTAGTAATAAATCTTTAATAACTATTTTTATAGGCAAGGTTTCAATTTGAGAAGATGTAATATTGTGTTAAAACAATGACTCTACAGATAGACCATTCATTTTAGTGTCTCAAAGTACGAAATTAGATTTGAAAATAATCTTTTTGGAAGATCCCAATCGGGAATCGAACTGAGGCAACACACACTACGCCATTGGGCTGTCATAGATGTAACTTCTAATGTATTCAATTTAAAGAAGAAGTACATACATATTTAAGTATTTTATTCCTCGAAATAATTTAAGCATTTGTCATTCGGCAAATGTCTCCAAGAAAATGCTAAACATTACAATTACAGTGATTTTTACTGCTTAAAATGGCGGACACTCCGTCATTTGCATAATGCTTAATTACCTCCGAGCTTCATTTTGTATTGTAAAGATTCCATTGATTTTGTCTGCACAACAGCAATGGGCAACCTTGAAATAAATAATAATAGTAGGTAATGGATACCTATTACAAACAAGGATGAATATACCTATCTTTTTGGAACATTCATCTACGTTTCATAAAATTATTTTTCAATTATAACTAGGTAGAAATTTACAATGTTACATAGAAAAATCAAACAGATTTTTTCAAGTTACTTTAAAGAGTTATTAATCTTAGTTATTTTGTTTTGATTCTGTGTAAATTCCTGAAGTATAAAAATATGTTATTGTAAGCTGCCTTGAATAGTAACGACATTCGTAATAAGTATACTTATTACGTATAGTTGTCAACCATTGTAGGGTACTGATGTGGCATTGTTCTTAATGTTATTGCCGTTGTTCTAACTCGTACTTCAAGTAGGTAATAAATTCTTTTATGTTTCTACGAGTAGGACACTTCAATGCTATATCCTTGACAATGTTATATTATTATTGGCAAGTGTTAGATATATTTTATTCATCGAATTGGAGTTTCTGGGTTCAATCCCCATACGGGACACACATAGTAGAATCGTACTTAGGTTTGAATTAAAGCTACATATTAAGTTAATTAATTAAACTTTTGCTTCATATTTTATAGAAACAACTCCAGATTCTTCGATCCTCAAGTAGGTTTATCTTTCCTTAGGCAAAGATTTCGTGTACAAATCAATTTGTAGCGTTTAGATTTCGATAAGTAAATCTTTTTTCAAAGAGAAAATGATGCTTGTTGACCGAGAAGAAGTACTCTTTACACACTACGACCTACTGCTTGTCACAATTATTTTTAATTTATTGTCTTTCTTTTTTTCAGGAATCCTTTTCTGGAAGACAGGTACCTAGGTATTGTTGACATTTTGTTTTGTTACAAAGTTGTAATACGTAAGTATGTATCTGGATGGATCTTTTAAATAACATAAAATATTATTGTGACCTCTGTTCACTGAACAACAAATGAATTCTTACAAAAATACACATTGTTCTGAAAGTAGAATGTAGAGAGTGCAGTTTTCCGCGCGTAGAATCTGCTAAATTAAAACAAACCGTGGGTTTTTGCGCAAATGCACATTTAATTATAATAATAATAATAATAATAATAATTTATTCATCAAAATAAGAACATTATAAGAACTTATTATGCTAGAGTTTACATATAGTCAATAGTCTTTTGTAGCCTGAACTAGGTTAAAAACCTGTGTTTCAGGCGAAAAAAGATCACACGTAAAATAGTAATTAAGTAATAATNACTGCACAACAGCAATGGGCAACCTTGAAATAAATAATAATAGTAGGTAATGGATACCTATTACAAACAAGGATGAATATACCTATCTTTTTGGAAAATTCATCTGCGTTTCATAAAATTATTTTTCAATTATAACTAGGTAGAATTTACAATGTTACATAGAAACATCAAACAGATTTTTCAAGTTACTTTAAAGAGTTATTAATCTTAGTTATTTTGTTTATTCTGTTTAACTTCCTGAAGTATAAAAATATGTTTTTGTAAG